AGTTTAAATGTATCCTATTATATAGTGTGATGGTCCTATAGAGATATTGACCTCCACGTACACGTAAACAGATTTATTCACAATTACAATATTTATTAATTATACGCTCGAGCTCTTCTCGTAGATATAAGCTCGGAATTCCTACCAATGAGGATAGTCTCCCCACTCTTGGATCCACTCAGGCGACTAATATCATACCAAAACAATATAATGTGCAGTTCGCTCTAAGCATTCGTGACGAATAGAACCATTCGGAATTCAAATTCCAAATTTTTCTTTGTGAAGTTAAAAAAGATCGATTCATGTCCAAAATACTCAATAAGTTTCATAGTTCATTTAGCACATTCGAAATTAATTCTAAGATTCTATTTTTAAGTGATGATAATGATGAAAGCTAAAGAGAACATTATTTTTTTTCAAATATTTATGCTATCAATTCTCCTCCATTTTTTTATTACTATTCTTAACAATGTTTGTTATTAACAAAAATAAAATGAGGTTAAAATTTCGTGTATCTAATAACTATATGTTATGATTAAATCTCAAAGCGAGTTTATAACGAATAAATATTGTATGTACTTATATATACAAGATATCTCGTGAGTTGTGCTTTCTTCAAGATATAAAAAAGCTCCTGAGTCACAAATAAAATGTGATAAAAAAAAATAATTTTTTGAAAAAAATAAATTATTATGTATATCTTTTTGTGAAAAAAAATTGTGAAAGGAAAGAAACCTTAGGTTATTAACGATTTCATTGAAGAATTAAAAATTTTAGTAAATTTATCTTGTATATTTGAATGAATAAAAATTAATTTAAATTTGCAATTGTATATTGTAAATTAATTTTTATAATAAAAATTTGGGTAAATAAAAATCAATCAAAATTAAATTAATTAATCTATAATGTAAATCTGATTTTTAGATTAATTTTTATGAGTTTAAATGAAAATTGATTTTAGATTATGATATATTTGTAATATATTTAGTTTTTTATCTAATTTTTTCAAATTTAAATAATGAATAATTAACATGAATGATTAACATTTATCTTGATTTTTTTTTAAATTTATCTCAAAATTTTTTGATTTTTGAAAAATGTTATGTTATATAGAGATTTTTCAAAATATAATTTGTATCGTTAATAACTGAATATTTTAATTCAGAATATGAAAATCTTGTAAAAATTATTTTATTTTTGATTCAGAATCAAGCATATTGAAAGCGTGTTATTTCAATTATTCCATGCAAAGTTGAGGAACGATTTGTAATTTAAAGAAAGATTATTTAAACTAAATATAATCTGCGTTGAAATATTTTCTAAGTAAATTTAGGTAGAAGTATCTTAGTGACATAAAAGTGATTTTAATATCTCTCATTAAAATAAAATTAATTTTATTATCAATTTTTTTACACAAAAATCATAAAATTTTACTTTATTCGCGCAAAGAATTTTTAAAAAATATTTAAAAAAAATAAAAGAAACATCATAGTCATTTTTTAAAAATTGCAGACCTTGAAATTTTTTAAATATTTTTATTTCTAGAAGGGTAACGCTGAAAACATGTTCTCCACAAAATCATCTCTGGTTCGAAACACTTATGTGAATAACCAATAGTTTCGAAAGCTAATCGCATGGAAAGATTAAAATGGGACACCCTATATGTATATGTAATGTATACCTATGTGTATTAACAAAAAATAATCGTTCCTATGAAATTTTCCATCCAATTAATTCTTTCGAGTCAAGAATTTTGTATGCTTCATTCAATTTTTTTTTTATTCCTTCCTTTTGCAAAAGAAAATAAAAAAAAAAGACAGCATTTAAAAAAAGAAAGAAGTTTACACATGTTGATTAAACATCGATTAATGAAAGATATACAGGATCTCCTTGAAGAAGATAACTTTTTCTTTTTCTTTTTTATAGAAAAAAAGCTATCACAAAATAACTGTTTTATAAATATAAGTGTAAAGAAAGTATTAAAACTGTGAAACAAAATATTGGTTTTTTCATTTCTCGTTTCCTATAGTGAATTAATATACTAACTTTATTAATTGATACTTATAAAACTTGTAGATCGAATGAATCGAAACTTGAAAAATTAAAACTATTATCCAATTATTAAATTAAGATTCACATAAATCTTTTAAAAAATTAAATTACATTTTTGAAATATTTTTTTCAAATAACAAATAGTTACATTCAAAAAATTTAAATGGAATACTCGAATCTACAACTTTTTCAATTGTTATTAAACAACCGAAATAATCTCGTAACATACACTTTCTGATTGAAATTATTCTCTCCCATTCCATGCACTCTCACACTTTCGACCGATCTGCAATCTTGAAACGCCTTGTACTGGGCTAACAGGCCAAATGAATATCCAAAGTCCACACACGGTCACGAGAGAAAAACAGCTAATGATGATTACTGCACCAAAGAATATTTCCCATAATCGATTTTGAGAAAAAGAGAACCTTGGAGAAAAAGACACACCTTGAGAAAAAAACGATCGCAGATCTCGTTTTTTGAAAAACAATATTTCAGTTGTTTTCCTTGCTCGTGTTCCACTTGCATTTCTGGTCGCGTTTTTGGTCGTGTCCGCGACGGCTATTGCGCATGCGCATTTCCGCACGCGCTGCTTTCATCGTTCGCGCAATAATCTTGGCCGTGAATCGAGCATCAGTCTTCGACGAACGAGCCCTTCGTTCTCGCGCTTTGCGTCTCATGTTCGCGTCTCGAGAAACTTGTTCTCGTGGTTTGGAAAATTTATTTAGGTGGAAATTCGAGAAAGAGTTAAATCAGTAATTGTACAATGATATAAAACTTTTTAATATTTATTTATTTTATATTAATATTGTACAAAAATATTTATATTGTTAATTTACTCGAAGACAGTGTTACTGATCGTTTCAATGATATCGTTTCAATAATATCTATGTTATAAATATTTGTTTTTTAAATTTTTCTTGTTAGGAAATTCCAAGTTATTACAAAGTGACTAACAAAATTTTGGCTTCTTATTTTTCGATATTTAAAAATAATTATTCAGGAATAATAATAATATTAAATTTTAAATATTGAATTTCTTATTTAAGAAAAATTTTTAGAAAGAGAGATCGATTTACTTATAGTGCAAAGTGGAAATTTTAATTATAAAATTCATTTGGTTTTTTTTTTTATTTGTTTGTTTGAAGAAATTGATATTTTGCTGTTAGAAAATTGATAAATTGAAGGATTAGTGGAAATGAAGATTAACAGGTGTGATTTAGAAGTAATTGTTGCGCAAGATGGAATTTAAAAATCTTTTTAAAATGGAGATTTATGTGACTTGTTCTTTGGATATTATTTTTATCGAAATTGATGAATTAAATTTATTAAATTACAAAATATTTTTTCCAGGAAAAAAATTTTTATGAAAAAAAATAACTGAAATTTATATTCCATAAAATAATTTTTAATGAAATTAATGAAAAAAAATAAAAATATCAATCTCTACGTGTAATTTTTGTTTAAAAAAATTAATATTTTCTTATATTTTATGACAATTCAATTTTCTTTGATTTAAAAAAATCATAAATAATTTATTATTTAATATGATAAATTAATATCAATATTAATAGGTTATGAAAAATAAATGTAAAAAAAGAAGTGAAAGTGTTTTCGATGATAAATTACTCTATTACCACAATAGATGAAGATGATAGATTAAGATTGATGTTAGTACTTGATCTTCCCTCTTGAATTAGATTTTAAGAAATTGAATTTCTTTCTCGCGAAAAGATAGTACTACATTTCGCAAACTCTACAACTACTGTATCAAACCAGATTTAATATTCCATTATCGAATCTAATTTTCAATTAAAACTTTTAAATTATCAATTCAATGAAATATAATTAAAGCAATCTTCAAGAAATCATATTAACTATGTCCAACAAGATGAACATATGATCTTCATTTCTTAAAAACTAATTTCACTTTTTGTATTTTGCAAATTTTTTAATAAAAAAATTAAAAAATTATTTTACTTTCATTACATATAAAAATTTAAATGTTTATAATTATTATTATTATTATGAAATTATTAAAATTATATTATCAATTAATCAAAAGATTTTAAAAGAATTGTAAAAAAGATTTTTAATCGTGGAATATGAGTATTGTCATCGAAAGAGAACATGAGAAAACGATCGGTAAATAAAATTAATGAGTGTAAGATGGTCAAAGGAATTTGTTCGCCTCTTTTGCGGTGTTATAGTCTAATAGGATAAACGATTTTTAAATTATCGTTAATGAAGTATATGTCATGAATATTTTTTAAAAACTACACATCAACCGTTAATTGCTGCTTTATATATGTAAAACGTAAACGAAGTTAGACGAAGTATTTCGTAAGAAATATTGCAGATATAAAATAATTTATCAAGTCAGATTAAAAGGATATATATAATGAAAATCATATTAATTTGTAATTAACTTTTTTCACAACATGATTTTAAAATATATACATTCGAAATATATTAATAATAATGAAATACAAAAAGTTAAATAAAATAAATAAAAACAATATAAAATAAATTTTAATTGAAACTCGTTTTCAAATAATTTTTTATTTCTTATTATTGACTCTTAGAATCAATCCAATAAAAAATAAATCGTATTTTGTTTACAAATTAATAAACGAGATGAGTTCCGTATTTTTTATAAAAAAAAATATGTTTTTTCGAACAATATCGTAATCTTTTAAATTAAGATTAAATAGTTTCCAATATTTATTTGAATCAATATTATTCGAAAATCAATAAAAAGAATAGAATCCTTCGTACGATATTTTAGAAATGTTAAGAAATTTACCATAAAGTATTTTATTTTTTCTTCCCTTCAATTTTTTCAAAGAAAACTTCAAAATCTTTTGATATCATATCATAAATCATACCATAAACTAATATCAATTATTAGATAGAGAATTTTTTTCGTACAGATGAGAGATATCGAAGAATGTATGAAAAATAATTGAATCAATAAACGATATTTATAAACTTCTTAATAAAAATAAAATAATTATATAATAAATATTCTTCGATTTTTATTTAGTGTTTATCAATATTTGATTCAAAAGAACTAGATAGAATCAATTTCGAATTCTTAAACATGTAATCAATGCTATGTAGAAATAGACTCGTGAATTAATAGTAAAAAGAAGAAAAAAATGCATTAAAGAAACGATCATAAAAAAAAAAAAGTACAACGTTCCAATCAAAAAAGTAATTCAATCAATGAACTGTGAAACAATAAATTTTCACGAAGAAAATAAATACAGCATCGTAAGAGAATACCATCATTACCATTATCAAAAGATTGAAACAAACCTAACCTCAACTTCGAGCCACACGCTTGAAAGCCGACTTTCTCCATCACCATATATTACTTGATGTATGTACCCATAAATACGTGTCTCTCTTCGTGAACCGTATCACAAATCCTTTCCAAGTTTTATTTAAGCAACGCAAGAAGGCAGAAAAGAGTGGATATTATATACAGTATCGTTTAATCGGACGAAAAAAAAGCGAGAAAGTTGATGGTGCGGTGTTCTTGATTGTTTATCAACAGGTTACCGGTAGAATGGAAGCGTTTGGATCTCTCGGTGGATCGATCCCGAATCAGTGAAGCGTAACTAGTTGAAAAGAGGGTATCGGCCGGGGAAAAACGTTCGATGATCGAAGCATCGGAGAAGAGACGCGATGGGAGTGGGGATAGCAAGACACGACGCTCGCGGCCAGTTATGGTGGCGAACCATGCTTCATGGTGGGGTTGAAAGGTGGCGCAGTCATTTATGGTTGCCGGTTGTTCATCCGACGGTTCAGTTGCCCGTCTGACCAACAACGACAAAAACCTCAAATGGCGAACGTACGATGAGCAGTCGACTCGATTATTTGATTTTAAGGATCGTTATATGGAACCGACAACGTTTATGAAATTCTATTTCTATTAATCATCGGAAGTTTATTGGTTTCTACAATTGATTGCTCTACAATTGAGATCTCGTATAAGCTTTGAAGAGTCTAAAGAAGAAGAAGAAAAGAGTTTCGAGATAGAAAAGTGATATATGAACGATGTTTGTGAGAAGTATGTTTACGTTTGAACATTATATTGGAGAATTTGATTAATATTTAGAGAATTTGTTGTTTGTCAAAATTTAAATTTGTATATAATTTGAAATTCAGTTTGATGAAAGAAGAAAGAAGAATTTAAAAAATAAAGTTAAAAAAGAAACGACTTATTGGAAGACATTAATTTTGAATAGAAAAGTGGTACCTGAATGAATGATTAATTTGAGGAATATATTTATGTTTGATATTTCATGAATATATCAAAATGTTTGATTAATGATTAATAGTTTTTTAAAATTAACTTTGTGATTGAAGATTGTTGTTGCAAAAAATTGTGATTCAAAGAATTTCTTGAAGAATAGGAAGAATGGTTGAAAGTGTGCAATATTTCTACGAAAATTCAAGAAGAATAATTCGAAAATTCTTTACTTTTGATGGTGTGTAATTATAAATATTTTTTTCTCAAGAATTTATGAAAGAAATTTAGATTTATCCTGCATTTGGCTAAATGAATTTTTTAGAAGATAAAAATATTGTTCATCTTTAAAAAATTTTAACATTTCTCCTTAAAGGGAATTAATGATTCGATATTCTGCAAATAAAGACGTATTTCCGAAGAATTCGCCGAAGAAAATTAAGAAATTTTTCAAAGGCATTATATTGAAAGATAGCCTCTTTGCTGGAATACCAGAACGATTTAAAGAACGTTGTGGAAAATAGAGATATATTTATGATTGAGAACATAAAGTAGATCGAGGAATTTGATACGATTATTTGAAAAGTAGTTCGATTAATATTTAAAAGTGTTGATTTTCAAATAATAATCCGAACACGAAGGTTTGTTTGTTTTTTTTTTTTTTTTAATTTTATCATCGAAAAATTTAAGACTACTTTGTACTCAAGACACTTTTCTTTTTTAAAGAAAATAAAGGATCTTGTATAAAAATAGAGAAGAATGTTTATATTTGAAAATCGAAAATGAATCAGAATTTTGAAAATAAATTCTTTGAAGAAATTGAATTAATGATTAAGGATTTGTTGAATTTTTGATAACAATTTGTAAATGAGGATTGGCTGTTGAAAAGTTTGAAAAAGATTAAGAAAGTTTGGGCAAGATTTGGAATGTAATGAAGGATATTTGTTGATACAAGAATATGAATACCAGAATTTTCAACATATAACTCTAGAAAATTTTTGATTGATAATATTGAATATTTTTCTTTAAATCAAAATTAATTTCTGAAATGTGTGAAAAGAAAATTTAAAGAAATATTTTATCTTTAAGATAAATTACACTTCAAATTTTAAAAGAAATCATATCTTTATTATCTATATCTTTATAATTAAAAAGTGAATTAAAACTTTTTACATGAAACTTCAAGAAAAATTATAATGATGAATTAATAGTAAATTATATATTTATTAGTTTTTCAATAGTACCTCATAGATTAAGAAAACTCTGAAGAAAACTCAAAATATAATTTAGATCTATTATTCTTATTCTATTGTTCTTCTCTCATCTTATTCTTAAAAAAAACGTTATTTTTTAGAATGAAAAATTGTTCCAAAGAATACTCCATAAAATAGTAGAGCTTCGACACGAAATTTCAAGAAAATTATGATCCACAATTGGAACTATCATTTTTTGACGATATCCCGTAAGTTTCGAAGCAAAGAACTATTCTTTGAAAAAGTTGTTTTTCGAAGTGAAAAAGTGATTTAAATGATTCTTTGAAAGTGGCACGATATATTTATCTTGGAAATCGCAAAGTGGATCAAGCAATTTGAACGTGAAATTTCAAACAAGAGGAATTCAATCAGTAATGGAAACCTTCTTTATTAATACTCTATAAATGAGATTATTGAAGAATTTTTGAAAACAACCGAAGAAATATTTTGAAGTTAAAATCGTTCTGAACGAAATTATATATTTTAGATTCCAATTAACATTTAATTCGATAATAAAGAAAAGTCTTCGAAAAAGTTTACAATAAAATTTGTAAAAAATCGATGATTTTTACAAAAATAATTTAAAAAAAATTCTATTTTTCGAAAAAAAGAGAAATAATTTTAAAAAAAGTACTTTTGTAACAATACATATACATATAAAATTCTTGAAATCATAAAGTGGACCAAAGAAATCTGAAATCGTCGAAAAACCATCATCTTTTTGCAAAATTTTGCAAAATTTGAATTATCGAATCGATCGAATTTTTATTTTTTTGGAATGGACGACAAGAAAAATTCTAAAAGTGCTATTTAAAATAGAATTCTTCCGAAGGAAAAAATAAAGAAACATGCGTATTGCTAAGATACGTTCTCCTCCAGTTGATTCTCGAATTTGAGAAGAATTTTTCAAAGATCGAATATTCGAGAAAGATGTGAGAGAATTGTTGCTTGAGAAAATAATCTTCGTATCAACAATGAGTTCTTTAAAAAGATCGACAAATCAATCGACCAGAGAAGGTGCCGGCGGTAGGAGGCACGCACTCACCGGAAGTAGCTCGAAGAGCTTGAGGAACGTTGTCCACACGACTACAGCGCCTGGTTCACCACTTCGCCACAGATCCAAATATGAATTGAGGAGCATCAGTTTGGAAGGCACCAAAGTTTTACCATGGACAGCACGGTGAGTTGAATATACATTATACATTCTTTCTTATTATGTGATAAATATTTTATAATTGCAAAAAGTGTAGGTGTAATTTAATTATTGGAAAAATCGTGATTTAATTTGTATGAATAATTGTAATAATCGAAATCAAACGTAATATAATTTGAATCATTATATATTTAATATATAATTTCATAAATCATTGATTAAAAGGGAGAAAAATAAAAAAAAAATTTTATACGAATTTATTTTAGATGTTAGGCGTTATTTTAGTTTTTTAATGCATCTTTAAATTTACATTAGAAACATATTATATTATGAGTTATTTTTTACAAATTTTTTTTATTTTTTATTTGAAGGAGTTTTTAACGAAGAGTAATAGGTAGCCATTTAAAAGATCAATGAAAGCATTAGTACCATGAACAAAAGAGATAACGATGGATAGGTTTTAAGAGTTAGTCTTCATGCTTTAATGTCTGGAATTATCGATATGTCGATATTCTCAACGTTTTTAATTAATTTCATGTCTAGAGTATTTACTTGAATATTGTACCCGCATTATCGTTATGTATTACGAATCAAGCAAATTTGACAAGAAATAATTTAATTATTTGATATAAACAAATTTAATTCAAAAATTAAAGAAAAAAAAAATTTTTATTTTAATACGTTTTATATCGAGATACTTTTCGAAGCGAAATTTTCATTTAAATTATTATCACATGTATAACCGATAGCATTGTCGATTATTTTCGATATGTTGAAAATAAATGAATTCGATAAAAAGTTCAACATATATGTAAAAACGATACAATTCTTGCGAAACAATTTTTAAATTAGAAAGAGATATCGACTTTGAAAATCTAATAAGGTCAAGGTTGACGTGTTAAGATCACGAAATCGTGCATGTGAATACATGTAAAGCGGGGGAGTTTGCAATTTCCGTGATTGCTCCGCTGCAACAGGTAAAACTTTGACTCGATGTTAATTTCGAATACCCGACTCATTGCTCACACGCTCCCATTTTGCAATAAAAGATAAAACTTTCTCGAAGCATTCGACGTAATCCATTAACTGTTTAGAGGCAATCAACTTGAAATCTGGGGTTAATAAAATAGTCGTTTCTGCGAGTTCATGGAAGACATTAACCAAGGGAATAACAAATTCACTAGAAAAATTATAAATTATTTATAAATAAATTATTATAAGATTTATAAATAAAAATTAATTCTTAAAAAAAATTTACGATGTTTAAAGAGAAATTTTTTTTTTTTAATAAGAAAAACAAATAATTATTCGCATATATAGATTAATTTTAATTGGATTAAATTTTCAAATTGATATTTAAAATTTGAAAATATTTTAATGTTCTATCGTTGTTACATGAACAGGATGAAAATATATCGAAGAGCCGGTTTTCATGGCAACATACTATATGTGCATATATATATATATATATATAGCGAGGCACGTGTTCGATAGAATAAATAGAACATCTTCTATTGTGTAATTCTTTATAGATTATATCGATTCTTAGATTCAATGTGAAAGTTCATATTAAAAAGGATTTATAATAGATATTCAATAACATCATCTAATCGAAAATATACTATAGTATAGTATAGTACAAATTTCAAATAAACTTCACTGAAATCTATCATGATTTTCGAAGTTATAATACCATATTATTTACATTTGTCAGCTTATAGCATACATTGTGTATACTAAAAAAGAAAAAAAAAAGTTGCATGTCGCAATGCCATCGATATAAATTAATCTTTCTTCAATCACAATAAAACATATATGCCGGTACACAACCATCGATTCTCAGATAATCCCGGTCTGAATAAAAACGAACTTCGTGTTTTTTTATTTTATTATGAAATCGAGTGTCTCTTTCTTCTAACCTATCTGCCGCTACATATCGATCTTACTATGTCCGATAAACCGGTCGACGTTCAGTTCGCGATCGAGCGAACGCGCACTGAGGCTTCATTGGTCATCGCCGTTAGTAACAACGATGGACAACGTATCGGATTTTGATGCTCGGCTCTTTATAATTAACTCTTTTGCTATCGGCCCGACCGAAGTGTCCCGACCGTCGATACACTCTTTTGTACCGCGTAGATCAATTTCGATCACGCTCGACCAAGTGGAAGTCGACTGCAGCGCATCTCGACTCATGGATAGAGAGAGAGAGAAAAAAGAAAAAGGGAGATCGAAGCAAACAGGGAGCGTAGAGGTTAGTAAAGTAAGGAGGGAGACGCAAGGGACAACAATGCGCAAAAATATCGGGAAAAGCTCGAGTTAGAAAAGATATAACAGAACGAATATAAAGTCCTAAGAGGATTGGAATCGGTGATCGGATACAAGATACATGCGAAAAATGCCGAACGAAAAGATCAAGAAGAAAAGCGTTTGGTGTTATGTGTGTATATATATGTATACTAGGGTTAGATATGGAAAGCACTTGCGCACGAAAATGAACTCAAGAGAAATAGACCGTTTCCGATTACTTTGTCTCGCGAATATATCGAGAATTGCGTCAATTCGATGACCTGTATTTGCATTTATATACATATACATATCTTATATAATCTTTATATATGTATATATATATATAAATGCAAATACAAGTTATTTAAAATGACAAATAGATAAAATCAATAATTTTTATCAATTTTTTTATTAAAGTTATTTATTAAAAAAATTTACTAGATAATAATATAGTAAAGTAGTATAATAATTATAATATAGTAATATAGTTGCTAGATAATAATATAGCAAAATATAGTAAATGTAATGTTTTGATCTGTTCATCATTCAGTTTTAAATATGATTGAATTAATTATAGTTTTTATCAATTTAGAAAAAGCTTCTTTTTGTGTGAATTATAATGTTTTCAATAATTTTGTGTTTATACATTATTCTATACGTAATTTTTTTTTTAGATTAAATTTCTTGGAATGCAAATATTTAATACTTAACTTTTTTTTTTAAAGACTTAACGCCTAACGTTTATTACTTGACATTTAACATTTTATACTTGATAGTTTACATTTAATACTTGATACTCGATATTTGACACTTGACATTTCTATATGCACTGTATCTATTTTAAATCTATATTTCATTATAATATAATGAATTATGCTTTAGTTAAAAAAAAATCATCGAAGAAATGTTATGTAGAACAATGTAGATTCTATATCTTGCGACATTTCATATGACTTGCAGCCCAATCTAAATAATGAACATATCCAAAGAGAATATTGTAAATTCTATACTGAATATATGTAGTAGTTTGATATCATTTTTCAAAGAGTAATCTTTTTAATATTTCTAATTTTTTGAATAAAAATTTTTTTTAATCAAGAATTATACGTTGAAAAATAATAACATCACAAAGTCTCATCAAATAATTATACTTTGAAAATCTATTTGTAAAGCGTAATAAAAATAAATTACTAAAATTAATTTAACAATTAAACAAATTTTAAACATAGAAATTAAAATTTTTAAAATAGAAATTAAAAATATTTTAGAAATAGAATGATATATACGAGATCATTGTTTTAAAGATAATAATTAAATATATATTTTTTTCTTAAAGATTAAAGCAGTATTATCATAATTTTGAAAGAAAAATAATGAAAACATATTGACAATAATTAATATCTGTGATCACGCACCAAAAACAAATATAGACAAGAAGAGCAAATAATGAGAGAAGGACAAAGATAGATCATAAATTGTAAAATCAGTGCCATTTAAATGTCGCAGATGAAATATATATAAACAATGAAAATAAATAGTTAAAAAAAGATAAAAATAGAATAAAAAATAACTATAAATGTCATCTTTTACGTATCATATTTTATTATAAGATGATTCTTTCATTTAAGAGATATCACGACGGTCAATTTTTACTCTATCTTATCCTGTCTTTAAAGAAATATTTTTAAAACTCAAGAGATGGCGCTAGCACTTAATTCCTACCTTCTATCCTAATATTTGTTTCCTTTGTATGTTTTATTTACGACTCTAAAGATGGCGCTGATTCATAATTTTTAATTTATTTGTCTTTTTCATTTTTTCACTTTTTCCTTCTTTTTTTTGTACTTGTTTTTTATCACAAATAAGAATATGTATACTTTCAAACATTTAAAACATATAGAAAACAAACATGAATTTGTTCATGTTGCTATTCATTTATTATTCCATATAACAAAGATAGGAATCAAATGCCAAAAAAAAGAAAAAAAAATAAAAATAAGAAATATTTAAAAATTTAATGTAATTTAAAATCTTAATATATATTTTATAATTTATATAAATTA